ATTAATCACGGTAAAAAAACGGAATACAAGAGTTCAAACTGATCACTAAGAAAACCAAACAAAACAGTAAAACTTGGTGACCGCTCCATATCAAGCAACAATCAACCAAAATAAACAAAGCAAGACAAAATAATGACATAATAAACGAGATACTCTAGATTTGTCTCCAAAAGAAACTCCATAACTGAAAATATGAATGGGATCATTTAAAGTATAAATATTAAACTAAAAGCATGTTGGGTATTTTGGACGAACCTTGTGGGGGAACCCTTAAGTTTGATCTTCAAAGAAAAATCCTTAACATATGGCTCAGTTATTAAACTTTATAGCCTCTCTATATCTATTCCTTCAAGCCAATCTTGACAAGACCACACTTCAAATATCTTTAACAAGCTAACCTGCATTGGGCCGTTGGTTAGCAAAAAGTTGCTTATTTCTTTCTTGCCAAATGTAGTAGACAAAAGACGCAAGAATAACTTTATGCAACAGGAACCAAGGCACTCCATGTTCATTCGATATGCCCTGCAGAATGTGTCTAATTAGACACATTATGAGCCACTTAGTCCCTTTATGACCCATTTAGACTCATTAAGGAGAATAAGACACATTTTATCCATTTACTTCGAAATGACCCATTAAGGACCACTTAGACTCATTATATTTTAATTAGAACCACTAAGGTCTAATTAGACGTATTATAACCCAGTTAGACTTGTTATGACATTTTATACTCGTTAAGGACAACCCATTATACCATTCATACAAAAATTATCCATTTAGGACCACTTAGACACATTATACCATAATTAGATCCATTTTTAGGTCTAATTATACACATTATTACTCACTTAGTCCCACTATGACCCACCTAAACTCGTTAAACAAAATAATATTCATTGATGCCACAAATACCAAAACGATCCATTAAGGACCAATAAAACCCATTATAACTTAATTATATCCATTTAGGTCTAATTAGATTCTTCATTGTATAGGTACTTTAAGTTCCTTATTTCTTATGTTAATTGTCTTTACATTCTGTCATTTACTTTCAGTTATTTAATCTTCGTCATTTAACTTTATGCATTTACTTTATGTTCTTTACATTTCCTTGCAATCTATTTTCATTATGAGTAGCTAATTTTCTTAGCTTGGGTGTAATACAAATGATGAGATTTTAAACCAAAGGAAATTAGACATTGTTTCGCAATAATGATGTTTCACTATTTCATTTCAAGTTTATAAAACCCATGACACTACTTGACGAGTTGATCACTTTGAAAAAGTGTTAAAGTGTCTTTGTCTTAGGAATAAGCCACTTGAATCTACCTCAATTTGAATGATATGATAAGTAAACTTGTAAGAGTTGCTAACAAATGAATTTGTTATCTTTGTTTTTCAAATTGATTAATTTTTGACAGGTTGGTCACTTATCAAAGTGTTAAAATATAATGGACTCATGAATAAGCCACTTAGAACACATCAACTTGAATGATATAGGAATCGGCTCGGAATAGTTATTTTAAGCAAAAGAATTTGTTAATCCATATATTATGAGGACACCATTTATCACTATCACTGGTTTTGAGAGTATATAGAAATATTTTGGTTGAAAGATAAACATTAGTGCAATGGTTGATGTCCGAAAGGATATTTCTTAAAATAGATGGTGGAACAAGTTATTACAAATTGTTTGTTGTAGCATTATCTGCTAGAATTTGTGTTTATATCTCATCACAAGTCTTACACCCATGTTATTTTATTTATTATGTCATTTCCAATAGTATTAACTCAAACCAAAACGATTTCTTCAAACTCACGATCTGAAGTTAATTTGTCAACTTGAGATCTTGCAACTTAAGGTACCTATACTTGAGGAATATGATACTTGGTTTTTGCCATTTTATTACTTGAAAGACGATAGCATTGACACGTGTATATACTTGCATGTGTTACCTCTTAATGTTGTAGATATACCATTTAATGTTGTAGAGATACAAACGCATCAAGTATTTGGCAATGTTCGGGGATATGCGTAAATCTATAGTTGTTAAGAGACTGAATATTGTTAAGCTAATTTTTCTACCATCTTTGTTTCTTGTCATACGTCTCCATGTGTGTACAAGTAACAACTTTTTGAGTTTATTTTCCTGTGAATATGGATTCAATGGGGCAATCATTTGGGTCGTATGAAACTATTTTTGTATGACTGTTGTGGCAGAAATCATTTCTCATCAGTTATTCTTCGAACTTCGAATTCCGTTATTTCATGGAAGATAATAATTGGGATACCTCACATTTCAATGTTTTCACTCAGGGGCTGTTTGGTAGGCTCTTAATGGTTACATTAAGAGCCAATCGCTGAATCGGTCAGAGGTTGCGTGTGTTTGGCAAAAAAAAAACAATCTCTTAATGGTTACAAACACCTCTTAACCATTTTGCACCTGGTGCTTCACTCAACCATTCAGACATCATTTGTTCCATCTTTACCCCTCCCACCCCTCTCTTCCAGCGTCGCCTTCACCGTCTCCAGAGTTCACGTCGCCTTCCACGAGTTCACGTCGCCTTCACCGTCTCCATCTCCGGCCACCTGCACCGTCTCCATCTCCGGCCACCTGCACCGTCTCCATCTCCGTCTCAAATCATAGAACCCAAAAATCAAATCATAGAACCCAGCACCCCTCTCTTGTTGGTCACCGGAACAGTCGATCGAAGCTGGCGACGGAGAGGGATGGCAGAGGCGGAAGGCCTGAGCGGCGGCGACGGAGGGGAAGGCCTGAGCGGCGGCGACGGAGGGGAAGGCCTGAGCGGCGGCGACGGAGGGGAAGGCCTGAGCGGCGGCGACGGAGGAGAAGGCCTGAGCGGCGGAGACGGAGGGGAAGCAGCGGCGACGGAGGGAAGGCCTGAGATGGTAGGAGATGAAGGGGGCGATGAAACTGGAACCGTCTCCATACATATATGATTTTTGTTATTTATAATTTAATTTAAATTATTTAATATTATTGAGGGTTAAAATGGTAATTTGTTATCATTCAGAAAACATTTACCAAACAACCATATTTCATTCAGCACTTAACCATTCTAACCCTCTTAGCCATTCTGACCTCTTAACTATTCTGCACTAAATCATTCAGCAACTGCCAAACAGCCCCTCAATCATGATATGTATCCTAATTTTTTTTAGATTGTCAAGATCATGGCACTTTCATATCACCAACATCTCCCTACCAAGATTAGAATAACACTTGTTCAAATACTTTTGACCAATCTTGGGAGGGACAAGTTGATTTTTCTTGGAGTTTTTAATTTATTACCCCCATCACCATCTTTAGAACTAATTAAAGCTTGTAATTCTTTTCAAACATTTCTCAATGATCACACATGAAGTCTAATAACATATTTTGATAATATCACAACTTACATTCAAGAGATCATTAGATAAAGCCAAATTCTTATACCAAGAGAGAGTGAACAATCTAAATGTGTTGGTAAGAATGAAAGTCGGGTCAATTCTTTGGTTTATAGTCAAGAGATAGAGAGTTCCGATGGAACACCTGAGCATTTGAGCAACCCTTCATCACTTGAAAATAGTGAAAAGTTGCAACAAAATGCCAATATGTCATTACTTAAATTTATATAGAAAGAACATATTGTTGCAGTATCTGCAACAAATCCCGTGACAAAGCTATGTAGTAAATCTTCAAGTTGTTTTTGAATGGGACGTGATGATCAACCTAAGGACTTAGAATGTTGCATAAAATCATATTTTTTTGTTGGTGAAGTGATGTGGAAAACTCTTCGTAGGGTGAAATGTTCCCCCAGTTGTGCCATTAAATCCATGTGCAATGATCAAACAATAAAGCAAATGGTTAGAAAGGTATGGAAGCAGAAACACCAAGATGAGTTGGTTTGGGCTGATGAGGAGCATACTGATGTGCTCCAGAAAATTCCACCATTCCTCATGAAGTTGTCAACAAGAGATTCGCTAATTAAAAGATAAGAACATCCATCTAAAAGAAGGAAGGTAGAGTCTACAATATTCATTCCAACAGCAACAACAACAATACTGCAAACTTTCCTCTTTGTTTTCATTTATTTGAGGTTGGAAAAAGTCTTATTTTAGAATTTCAAACAAACCAAGTAAGTTGTTCATATTATCTTAAATGTGTTCATATTTTCAAATTGATTAATTTTCGGCAGATCGGTCACGTATCAAATTATTGAAGTGTAGTGGACTCAGGAATGAGCCACTTGAAACACATCAACTTGAATGATATGAGAATCGGCTTGGAAAATTGATTTTAAGCAAAACAATTTATCTACCCATATATTTTGAGGACGTCATTTGACACTATCACTAGTTTTGATAGTACAAAAGAATTTGTTGGTTAAAAGCTAAACATTAGTGCAATGGTTGAAGTCCGGAAGGATATTCCTCAAAGTAGATGGTGAAACTAGTTATTACCAACTACTTGCTGTAGCATTTGCACAACATAGTCTGTTGGAATTTACGTTTATGTCTCATCACAAGTCTTACACCCATGTTACTTTCTTTATTTTGTCATTTCCAGTAGTACTAATTCTACCTAAAACAATTCCTTCAAACTCGCTATCTAAAGTACGTCTTTCAACTTAAGATACCTATTCCTATGGAATATGATACATGATTCTTATCATTTTATTACTTGAGATGTGATATAGATAACGATAACGATAACGATAACGATAACGATAACGATAACGATAACGATAACGATAACGATAACGATAACGATAACGATAACGGGAGGACTTGGAAGACAAAAGTAGCGGCTTTTAGTGCCAATTTTTGAGGAAAATAAAGTTTAGTGTCCCAATTGTAAAGATTACAAACCTACGTGACGTTGCCTTTCAAGTTTCTACCTCCGCTTTGTTCTGGAAATTTCTTATTTTGTTCATGGAAACAACGATAAATCACCGCCACTCGCCACAAAGCGATTGAAACCACCATTTCTACCCTCGTGTGAAATCTCACTATAATTCTCCAAGTCAAATTTTAAGGGGAAAACCCTAAATGCATAAATAAAGATAATTATTTATGCATACTCTTTATGCAAACAGACATCCCTTTTCTCCAGTTCTGTTTTCGGTAATTTTGAAGCAATTTTTCGTTTCCCTCCACAGATCTCTGGTATTTCCTCGATCGAAACCGTAATTGGAGTAAAATTTTCACTATGCATATATTTTCATAGCCGATTCGAATTTGATCGTGTCTTATCTTCAATTTGATCTAGCGATCGATTTGGTGGTTCTGATGGAATTAGGTTTTTTTGTTTATTCAATTTTGATTGATGGATGATCGATAATGCCTCAACTGCGTAGCGGAGTACGCAGAGGGAGACCGTCAAAGCGACCGATTGCTGCTGAGAGAACTGAACCGGAGGGAGTTGAAGAAGCGGTAAGAAAAACGGACAAGAGAGGGAGGAAAGTTAATAACAAAACAGGACAGGTTAATCGAGTCGAACAGAAGAACGGGAGGGGAAGGAAGAAAGCGGTGCAAGAACCGGTAGTGGTGTCTGATGAAGATAGCGAGGAGAAGAATGCTGTAAGGACGACGCCAGAGGAAGAAGAGAAGGAGAGAAAACCAGAATTGGCGGCTTCGGCGGCTGAGATAAAGGATAAGGAGAAGGAAGAGGAGGAAGCTGGGGAAAAGAAGATGGATGACAACGACAGCGTAGCCCCGAGCGGCGATAAGGGTTTGGGTGCCGAAGACGAAGGCAGCACTGCTCCACTCCCAGAAAGGGTAAGCAGTCTATTCATATGAACATGTGCTAAAATTAGCTTTAAACTGTAGTATTTTTTATGTTATAGACCACATTTTATGGGTTAAAGTAATAAGTAGAAGGTTATATAGCGTCTCATCTTAAATTAGATTTTTGCTAATATTCAATACTTGATGCTTGAGTATTTAAATACTATTTGATGTCTTTTTAGGATCTGTTATAACTTTATAGGTTCTTTGATGGTGATTTTAGAGGGTTCAATATTTTAAAGTTAAACTTGTGTTTTTTCCGTTTGTTCTTGTGTTTTGGGGTTTGGTTTCATGCTCCTTTCTCTAAATTCTGTAAATCTTCTTTATTGAACAGATGCTCCAAGTCTAGCTATTCTTGAGTAGTAAAAGATGAAATATCAGTCTGTGGACAAGAACTAGTTTGCGACATTATTTCAACTGGGTTTTTAAAGTTTGTACGGAGTACTATCAGTAAAGCACTGGCTTTTTGTGTTTATATGGGTCATTTCTTCTTGTTCTCTGAAAGAAACAAGCCATGATTCTTGGTGCTGCTTTGTCTTTAGCATATTTGGTTCTCTCTTGCTGAAGGAAATTGTGGGTTTTTTCATCATGCTGTCTGTGATGGTTTGAGTAAATATGTTTGAACACCACATACATGTTGGTAATATATGCAAGCACTGGTGGAGTTAGGTATAAGAAAAGGGGATCATTTTCACTTCTTGGAGCTTTTGTAGACATTTAATAGGCAAAATTAAATTGATATCTAATTGCGATCTTATCACATTCCCCATAGTTTGTGAAGCAAGTTGGCTTTTCTTTTATGAAGATAACTCCATCCATAGGATTGTAATTAATTAATTACTAAACCATATTGCTCTGTTTAATTTTTCAAAGTAGCTGGCATTCTGTATCTTGTGATTAATGATGCTGTTGTCGATTTGGTTTCCCTTCAGGTCCAGGTTGGTGGTTCCCCATCATATAAGATTGAGAAAAAACTTGGAAAAGGAGGATTTGGGCAAGTATATGTTGGCCGCAGAATTAATGCACCAGTCCCTCATGAAAGAACTGGTTCTGGAGCGGTAGAGGTATCACATATTATTTTGTTGCATGTTTATCATACAGTGAATGACAAGTATTAATGTGTCATTTAATATTGCTTGGCGTTCAAAATATGTAGGTTGCATTGAAATTTGAACACAGAAGCAGCAAAGGGTGTAACTACGGACCACCATACGAGTGGCAAGTTTACAAGTAAGTCGATCCATCTGTCTGTCTGATGTTTGTATGCTTTTGACGTTTTGGGGGTCTTAAGTGACTAAAATGAGGAATTTTCAGTGTGCTTGGTGGAAGTCATGGTGTGCCACGTGTTCATTATAAAGGCAGGCAAGGTGATTACTACATAATGGTACGTCTTATTCTACTGTGTTCATTTTTAAACTAAAACATTCTACAATATTTACCTACTCAAGTGGATTCTAGCTAACATTGATCCTCTTTGAAGGTCATGGATATGCTTGGACCTAGCTTATGGGATGTTTGGAATAACAACTCGCACACGTAAATCTCATTTTATTGGCTTAAAACACATCAAGTTTATGTTTGTTAGTAAACCACTAACCAGTTGCATTCTTGTTGATGACTCATCTTTAGGATGTCGATTGAAATGGTTGCATGCATTGCCATTGAAGCGATCTCTATATTAGAGAAGATGCATTCCAGAGGGTACACGTTCTTTGTTTTTTTATTTTTAGGCTCTTAACTATCTTTTGTATGGATATAAGATTTCTTTTTCTAGTCCCTGCAAATCTGCTTACCTTCATCTATTACTAAATGATTCAAATGCAAGTTATATGATAATTGCTTCTCAGCTCGAAAGCTTGAGTTCATATACAACCATGGAATTGGTACTATTTTGTTGGCTGCTTAAGTAGACGGAAGTTAATGAACTGTCTACCTTCTCCATTTTTTGCTAAAACAAGGGATATTGTGGTGGTATAATCATACATGTACTTCAGTTCCAAGTACAAAATGTGCAGTATGTGTTTATTATGTACATATGGCTGGTAGCAGTGGGAACACATTGAATATAATGTGATACTATTGATGTTGAGCAGGTATGTACATGGTGATGTTAAACCTGAGAATTTCTTGCTTGGTTCTCCAGGAACATCGGATGAGAAGAAATTATTTCTTGTTGATCTTGGTTTAGGTATATTGTGAATCGCCTTTGTTTGTTTTCGCCATGTTTTTATTGATGGAATGATTAGCTAAAACATTTGCTACATGCCAGCCACCAGGTGGCGAGATAGTGCAAGTGGGTTGCATGTTGAATATGATCAAAGACCAGATGTTTTTAGGTATATTGGTGACAATCTTTATGTGGTTTCAGTTTGCTTGTTGCTATTTTCTTACCATTCATTCATGATGCCCATTTATGTATTGAATCACCCTTATATTGAAGGGGGACTGTCCGCTATGCAAGTGTACATGCTCATCTTGGAAGAACGGGAAGCCGACGGGATGATTTGGAGTCTCTTGCTTATACACTTGTATTTCTTCTTCGTGGTCGGCTGCCTTGGCAAGGATTTCAGGTTGACTCTCAACCTTGGATGTTTCTTGCTTTTATTTGTAGGTTCTTGCATTCTTACACAGTGGTTTTTCAGGGTGAAAATAAAGGGTTCCTTGTGTGCAAGAAGAAGATGGCAACTTCTCCAGAAACACTGTGTTGCTTCTGTCCTGCCCCATTTCGGCATTTTGTTGAACACGTTGTCAATTTGAAGTTTGACGAGGAACCTAATTATGCAAAATATATTTCACTTTTTGATGGAATTGTTGGTCCGAATCCAGATATTAGGCCGATCAACACTGATGGTGCTCAAAAGGTATGTATTTTATGATGCTCATATGTCGAGCTTTAATTGAACCTGAAATGTTGAACTCTTCTGTTTGACATATTTCTATGTATACTCTGTTAGCTTATGTATCAAGTTGGACACAAGAGAGGGAGATTGATGATGGAGGAAGAAGATTATGAACAACCGAAGAAGAAGGTTCGCATGGGAATGCCTGCAACTCAGTGGATAAGTGTTTATAATGCTCGTCGCCCGATGAAGCAGAGGTAGGACACTAAATTTTTTTCTTTCCTTGTATATTTTACTGGTAGTTCTGCATTGGTTTTATTGGGTGTAAACCATAAATGTTTTATGCCAATAAGTGGGGGATTCACATGTAAATGTTGTTTTGTAGATATCATTATAATGTGGCAGATGCAAGACTTCCTCAACATATTGAGAAAGGAAATGAAGATGGGTTATTCATCAGCTGTGTGGCTTCTTGCTCAAACCTATGGGCTCTTATTATGGATGCAGGGACTGGATTCACATCTCAAGTTTACCAACTCTCTCCTATGTTTCTTCACAAGGTTCTCATGAAATTTTCTTGGGTCTTTATTGTTATATAATGTTATTTGAGTTAATGTTGTTGCATAAAAAAGTTACTTTTTACCATTTATGCATGTTTTCAAAAATGAGCTTTTTCTTGTTCGTTGTTGAAGGAATGGATTATGGAACAGTGGGAGAAGAATTACTATATTAGTGCAATAGCAGGTGCTAACAATGGAAGCTCCTTGGTTGTAATGTCGAAGGGTAAGGGCATTTATATAGTAGGCTACCTGAAGAATGAAGTCAAACCGTTTATCTTCTAAACTTAAACCTTGTAGGTACCCAGTACATTCAGCAGTCATATAAAGTGAGCGAATCATTTCCATTCAAGTGGATAAATAAAAAATGGAGAGAGGGGTTCCATGTCACTGCTATGGCAACCGCAGGAAGTAGATGGGCGATCGTTATGTCTCGTGGTGCTGGATTCGTTGATCAGGTGTTTTTCCAGATTTAGAGCATTACTTTTATATCCGTTTTCTATACTGTGTTATGAAGCACTTAGGTTTTTGTTCTTAAAACTCTTAATTTTTCAACAGTACAACTTATAAAAACATCAGGTATAAATTATTGACGTATACAAAAGCTTTCAATTTTTAAAATATTCTTATATTGCCTTCTCCAAATATTATGAACAGAGTTTCTGGAAACTTATACTACTTTTTTCGAATATAAGGCCAATCAACCAAATAAACTGTAGAATTTTTGAGATTTTTGGAAACTGCATATCATAATTGATCCATTTCCAAAGGCGAAACATCATAAAAAATAAATCTAAAACAATTTAATTTTCGGTTTATGATTAAATTCTACATTCTGTTACATTACACAGGTACACTTCTAGTGCCTCTAAACATAAAAGATCTTTAATATATGTGATCACAGATTGTGGAACTAGACTTCCTGTATCCAAGTGAAGGTATTCATAGAAGATGGGATGCCGGTTATAGGATAACATCAACTGCAGCTACATGGGACCAAGCAGCTTTTGTTCTTAGTGTGCCAAGAAGACGACCTGCAGATGAGACACAAGAAACACTGCGAACTTCTGCATTTCCTAGCACACATGTCAAGGTTAGATCTTTTTCTATTGAAGTATATAATATTTGTATACGGCAAATTGAACTCTCACACACTTCTTACCTTGGTGATGTTTGAACCCTTCACCTCTAACTCTAAGAAGGTTCTGTTAGTAGATACCGCTTGGCCAGAGGTCCTTTTGTATATTAAGCTTAGGTTTGTTATGTTTGGGGCTGTTTGGTTGGTTTTCCATATGAATAAAACTATTGGAATGGATTAATATGTTCGTGTAGATTGAGAAGGTTTTTTTTTGGGGAGGGTTTTTTTTGTTGATAGATGGAAAGAGGGGTTTTCTAATTGGGAGGTGTAAGCTTTTAAAAAACATAGGTTCTGTTTGGTTTGTAGGAATGGAATGGGTTTGGATTTCAAATCCATTCCAATCCCATATTTGGTTTGTTTGGATGGTTCGGATTTGAAATCCTAGAATTTAATTGAAATCCTATAAAAATAGGATTTTGAAATCCTTGGGGGTAGTCGGGATTTCATGGGATTTCGTAGGATTGTATGCAATGAGGTTTTAAAAAATGCTTAAAACATTTGTTTTGTAATAATTGATTAATGAACTAATTTAATTATTTTTATTAATTATTTATATTTTTTTTATAAATAATGGAATCCAATTCCATTCCAAATCCTACAAACCAAACACACTAATGATTTCAGATCCATTCTAATCCAAATCCCTCTATGAAATCCAAATTCCTCAAAAACAATCCTGCAAACCAAAGAGCCCCTTAAGACTTTGCATTAAGCTCCCTCCTAGAAGTTCTATGGAGTAAGCCACTTTATGTATTATTAAACCACAACCAAACATTAATGTATAACTGAACCATTAAGTTGGTTAAATTACTAACACACATGCACTTCCTTGGACACTGTTTTGGGTTGATTTGTTTTGTTACCTTTGCTGCAGGAAAAGTGGGCAAAGAATCTGTACATTGCTTCTGTGTGTTATGGTCGAACTGTTTCATGAGTTCTCGTAGCAGCTCTTTTTCCTTTCTGGACTGTTAATCACTTGAGCACTTTTCTCCAATTGACCATCTACTTCTTTTTTCAAGCAGATGCCATTTTCTATTTGCCAAATAGTTACGGTTGTGGTTGATGTATGAAGTATAGTGGTAGTATCAATACTAACGTAATTGTCTTGTTTTTCAATTGTTTAGATATGCTTCTTAGTTGGTACATTTTTTATGGCAAAAACTTGTACATGTCCTTTTGAACAATAGCCATATCGTCCAAGGATTGTGCACATGCTCTTTTTACCGTTTTAAGTCAAGTTAGTTCTTATGTTGACTATTTTTTTGCTCTTCAGTGGGCTTGAAGAGAGTCGAAAGGATCCCCTCCTGCCCGTCTCATCCCCGCTCCATTGCCATGCCTGGGCATGGCAATGGGGCGGGGATGAGGCGGGTTTTGTAATCCCCGGTCCCGGCGGGTACGGGGATTAACATCCTATCCCCGGTCAAACCTCTATTAGTTCCCGGTCAAAACTCGGTCAAACCCCGGTAAATCCCCATTAAAAATATCCCTTAGTTTGATTCTTTCGGGGATCCCTGGCCCCGGGACCCGTTTTAGCAGGGGATTCCCGTCCTCGTTCGGGTCGGGTGAACCGGGTTCCCCACCGGGTCGGGACAAATCATCATCCCTACCCCCCCCAACCTCTTTTTAGTGTTGCGTTAGCCGGGTTAATTTCAAATTGTTGAGAGAATTTGTTGGGATCACATGTAGTGCCTTTCCTGAGGTTTTTGATGCTCTGTACGAAGATATTAAAAAAATGCTCTTATGCCTATTTTTTAAGCAAATGAAACGACGAAATATACAATTTTACTAAAGGGTTAGGAATCTATTAAGCTGGGCAACACAATCTTACGTTTAATTTTATTAATTAACATGAAAAATACAAAGGGGGGATATAAATACCAAAACCCTAAATTACAAAATATAAGTATATCACCTAAAACGATATCTTCGTGTACTTCTTGAAGCAAAAATATCAATTACTTTTTCATATTCAACATTCAGCAATTCAACAACCATTACCATAAGATGGTAATATTAATTGGAAATATATTGAATGCTTGATGTCAAAATTAATCAATTAAATGTTACTATGTTAGAACTTAGAAATGAAATCATACCTTGGTTTTAGAAGCAATGCAATCGACTTCCACAGTTTTAGAATCCAGATTTGAAGAAATACAAATGTATTTGATTGTATCTAGATTTGAAGGATTGAGATTTGAGAAACAATGAAGGATTGAGATTTTGTGAGTTTAATCGGCAATCGTGTATTCGAGTAAATATAGTTAGGCAGTTAGTAATGCATTGACTGATCATCAAGATCGATCCATTGTCCCATGGATAGTTGTTAGACTCGTCACCATTAACCGTCTTCCTCTGGAACTGGAACGCCATCGTCGAAAATAGAAAATTGAAAATCGAAAATCAAAAAACTCAAACACTTAAAGAACAATAGAAATCATTAATTTCAAATCGTCAAAGCTAATCGTCTTCTAAACTATGATTCGTCTATCCCATTGTCACCGATTCAAGTAATTGAGTTTGTTATTAACATGTCTGGTAAGTTGGGTCTCTGTTTATAATTAAAGCCCAAGTCTCAAATTATGAAATCCCAAAACTCAAAACTAATATTACATAAAAATTTGATGCCCCTTTGGGCTTTGATGCCCTGTGCGGATGCACGAGTTGCACGTGTGACACCATCAAACACCACATTTGCATATAACACATATTTCATTACAAAAAAATACAGTTTACATCACAATGGTCCCACTAATACATGGATTCTTTTATGTACAAAATCTACATATGAAAAATTCCAAAATAAAATCATGTACTATCACATGTATAACAACATATATCTTCAAAAGTAAGCAATCTCATGCTGATCTTCAAAAGCAGATATCAAATAAGGAAAATAATCACATTTTCCCTTTCCGCTCAACATCCTTAGATCCCGCAGTTCCTGCATTGCATATTTTTGAAACACAAAATAAGGGTTATACCAGAAGGGTCTAGTGAATAAATCTTTTATTTGCATATGCAGGATGTTAAACACCAAAATCTGTTAAAATAACTTTACACAGAAATAATTACATTTCAATCAAATAATACAGTTTCCAATATGATCAAAATAAGATTAACAGTTAATATCATCCCATAATGCAAATATACTCTTCTAAAATCCAGAGTTCAAAATGGAACTCTACCACAACGGGTCAGAGTCTCTCTGATTCAACAGACCAGAACCCCTCTGGTTCAACAGACCAGAGCCCCTCTCTAATTTACCAACCAGAGCTTCTGATTCTACTAACTAGAGCTTCTGTATCTAAGTGAATCAATGATCAACCAGAGGTCCTCTGGACCAAATACAACCTTAGGTCTAGAAGAACATAACATAATTAAATAGACAACAAAACTAGAATCAGAGCTTCTCTGACTCTTAAACTTTGTTTATAAATAACTTTGATGAAAAGATAATTTTAAATAATAAAACATAAAGCTTAAAATATAGAGCTTCTGTATGAAACATACAGAGCCTTTGATTTATAAACCCCCAAAGTATCAAAAACCCTTTTTACATAACCAGAGGTCCTCTGGTCCTTATATAAGACTAACCAGAGCCCCTCTGTATGTATTTAAACATTGATAGAAACTTAGGCAATAAATGCCTCTCATGACAAACCATTTTCCTTTTCTCAATAACATCTAAATTATTATTTCTAAAAAGAACAACATCTCTAATTCATCAAGTCGCAAAGAAATGATGATTTAGAGTCATTGTATCTAATTAGTGATAATAACAAGAGCTATAACAGTAACCACATATGACAATGCCTCTCTTATTTCTAGTTTACCTCTACTTGATATGCTGCCTTTATTCTTCATTAAAACAGGGTTACTTACCAGAACAAACATAAGTCACCACGTCTGGAAGTACCATCACCCTGTTCCAAGCCAGAACAAACAAATGTCATCACGTCTGGGGAACTACCTCTTAAAACAAGTTTCATACCAAAACAGACTTACGTCACCACGCTTGATAGGAACATTTTCCAAAATATAGTTTCGTACCAAAACAGACTTACGTCACCACGCTTGGTTGAAACATTATATTTTCTCTTTAAAAGATATAAAATACCCCTTTTTACAATAACAAATTTAAACCCAATAATTGATAAATTGTGAAAATCCCAAAAATTCCAAACACTTGGCATATTTACTAATAGTTGTATCTGAATAGGCTATCCGGACAACACATGTCTGGACAAGCTTGGCCGGACTCCCTATCCGGACGACATGATAAAACGTCAACCCGGATGTCACGACAAATCGATAATCCAGACGGCACGATAAAACGACAATCCAAACAACACTACAACCGGATTGAACGCGTATCCGCACGGCTTGATAAACGGATTAAAATGTTATCCAGACGACACTATGGCCGAACTAAGTCGTATCCAGATGGAACGCTAGTCGGACTAGGCCGTATCCGGACGGCACGCTAGTCGGATTAGGAACATCCCCGGGCGGCACTATAGCCGGTTTAGCATTTCAAACATTTTACTAACACCTTGTCCGGTCAACATAATGACCGGATACCCCCCAATTCGGACAACACTATGTCTGGTAATTAACATAATCCGGTCAACATGATTTTAAGAGCAAAATCAAAATTCAACATAATGAAAATGAGATTCATATGCTTTAAAATGTTAAAGCCACTCACCTTTGTAAAACTTTTGAAATGAAGGCAAGACCAGATTGATTCTCCGGATAACAACTCTCTTTTTCTCCCAAAAATTTCCAAATGAGATAAGAAACCTTGCCTTATGCCCAACTCCTCCTACTTATACTTTCCTGATATGGAAAGTCGGCCACACCTCCCCCCCACATGCATGCATACATCTAAAACCACCTATGCATGCATATATATATTCATGCACACACACACACACACACACATATATATATATATATATATGTATGATCATATATGATCATAAAATCACATACACTTCCACATATATTTTTAACGTCATGCATATATTCCATGCATGAAAATACACATACTCACATATTAAATTCATGTAAGGGCATCTCCAGTGCATGACACTCTACGAGAGTGTCATGGACTGGCACATCAGCATTCCACTCACCATACAACTCTATCATTTTATACCCACACTCCATAACACTCCAATGAGTTTAATGGATTTCCACATCATATATATATATATATATATAT